CTACAACTATGTTCAATCCCTAAGCCTCCTCCACCTCAGGCAACAGCACCACCATCCTCCCCTCCCCTATCAACCATTCGTCAATAATCAAATATCCAAATTTGTCTCAAAAATATATCTTAATCCCATTTACTTCTCATTTTTATTACCCGCAGACTTCTAATGAATCTTGCATTGCTTCCATTCTTGCATTGCTTCAGTCTAATCTTCACACATAAATTGGCATGATCTCCTTAGAAAACAGACTGGATTATATCACTTCCAGAGCAAACTACGTCAATATCTACTGCATTTATAATCAAATCCAAATTTTTCGTGCTACACAGTGTCCCCATGTACCTTACTCTGTTTAGGACATTTGTGTGCCTGCTGTCCTGATACAGAGCCTCCTTTCACTCTGAAAATTTGTTCCTTTGGATGACAAATTACAAGGTCACCATATTTATAGGGCTCTGTGTAATCTTTCCTCTGCCTAGATTTCTTCCCATAACCAAGTCTCCCTCAGGACTCAGTGGGGTCTTCCTTGTAGTTATTTTTCTTCAAAATTAAAACCAAAGGGTTTAATTCTACTCTTGATTGCTTTACTTGTTGAATGTCTGTTCCTACCATTAGATTATAGAGAGACTTTTCAGCCAGCACAGGACCTGGCACATGGTAGGTGTCCACACCTATTTATTGAAGGATTAATGACCAAATAAATATGCTATTCAGTCAGAGAGTTATATAAACACACAGTGTAACATTTAACTAACTCAAATGTATTCAATACACCAATGACCAAACTAACACGCAAGAGAAAGAAATTACTTCTGTTCAGAGAGAAAAGAGGGTGACTAGAGGCAGCTTCAAAAGAAGAGGAAGCCCAAGTGTTCGTGGATGAAAAAGATCATGTTGCATGAATCAAGAAGTTAGGAGAAAATATTTCTAAGCAGAAGGAATGTCATTTACAAAGGCAAAAAGGTTTCAAACAGTTGTGATTATTCAGGGAACTCAAAGTAGTTTCTATTATTAGAGTGTACAGTCTTGCATAAATGATATATTAATGCCATGAATCCCTAAGGACAAAACCTAAATTATGAAGGAGACTGCGGGTAACACAGAGAAGAGCTAAGAAATTCAAAACAGTTTTGTTTTCATTTATAGTGCTAGGATGATTTGAGAGTTTCTATTGCATATTTAGCTCACTCTATAAATTATAGAAGTTCTTAGATAAGTACAGCAGTTTTTAAAGAGTTATATTTCAAACTTCATTACCGTAAAGAATCCTCTCAATCGTGAGCTTGTCATGTAATATTCACTAAATTATAATACATGGTCCATAAGGAAACGATATGCAGATTTACAGTATATAAAACTAAACTGGGTTTTTCCTTCAAATAATTTTTTGGGTTTGCATTTTAAGAATCATTTCAAATTTCTGCTTCGGGTGATATATTTTTATTCATCTGTAGATTGTAAAAAGAAATAGGCTAAAACTACTAAATTAACATTGTAGCCTTTATATTATACAAATGTCCAGATCTGGAGAATGTATAGAATATCCAGTCATATTTGATGTAAGTAAGAGTTGACAGAGTGAATTAAAACTCATCTCAGATCTATTTATCTTGGAGAATATTTTCAAGAAATAGTCTCAGTATAGACAATCTCAAATGGTTTCTTTGAACTTGAAATATGCACACCAAAGTTTCATGCTGGTAGCCTGGAGAACACGAAAGTTTTGTCTGGCTCACAGAGGGCTTCAAAAGTTTGAGCCAAGATTTAAATTTGGAAAAGTCACATTAAAAAATCCAGAATTAAGATCTGATAATTCTAGGGGGGGAAAAAAAGAAAACACAGTCCCCAAGAAGGGGGGAGTAAATGTTTTCTAGTTCACCACAGAGCCATCTCCTTCCATCACCCTGGGTACTGAGATCCACACCACTTTCCTTATGTCTATTATATGCCCGACATCTTGTGCCAGACCAAAAAAAGAAAAAGGAAAAAGAAAACATTAAAGATCAATTGAGAATTATCAAAATGTCTATGAAAATATATAGAATTTGATCATTTCTAATTCTGAGAATTTCACATACATGCTATTCAAATAAAATCAGCTAAAAATGAAACAATTCAAACCTTCAATCTTTTTATTCTTGAATTTCGTTTGTTAACTAAACTATACCCGAACAAACAAAAAAGTCCAAAAAATTCAATGTAAAAGTTTTTCCTCCTGAGCAGTAAGTTATTCGTTTTGGCATTTGGTCAATGTAAGACAAACAGCACAGAACAGAATAACCCAATATATGTATGATCACATGTTGGATCTATGGTCATAATGTGAATACCCCCTTATAACACATCTTTCAATATAGCAAATATAATTTATTTGCTTTAAACGGATAGACTATCCAAACTGTGAAGATTAGGAGACACAAAGCCAGAAGTGATGGGCACTTACCTTAGCTATCTGGACACACCAGTTAAGCAACAGCTGTGATCCAATGTTGTCCTTGTGTTCATGGACGTAATCCAGCAGGCAGCCATGGGGCATGAGCTGTGTAACCAGCTGAATGGTTGGGCTCAGACACACACCTAATAATCGGACTAAGTGTGGATGATCCATACTTGCCATGATCAGAGCTTCCT